TCCGCGCGGGGGGGGTCGCAGGAGAAGGAGCGGAGGGCAGGGGGGGCGCGGGCAGGGGGCGCACGGGGGCTCCGCATAGGGGGGGCGCAGGGACGCGCAGGGCTCCGGGGGGGCCCCACAGGGCAGGGAGCGAACGGGGGCTCCGCGCAGGGGGGGTGCACGGGGCTCCGCGCAGCAGAAGGGGCGCAGAGGGGCACAGGGCTCCGTGCAGGAGAGGGGGCGCAGGGATGCGCAGGGCTCCGCGCAAGGCGGGGGGTGGACGGGCGCCCCGCCCCTCTCTCACTCACTCACCCACCAGCCCGGCAGCTCCCGCCGCCCGGAGCCTCCAGCCGCCGGCCCGGAGCAGCGCGAGACGCGGCGACGTCACACGCACGAGGGGCCGGGATCCCCGGGACAGCCGCCTCCGCCCGGCCGGGCCCGCAGGGGCGGGGGCTGCGCCCGGGGCCGTCGCCGTGTCTGGGTGCGCGCGCATCCGGGGGTGCGCGTGCGGGGGGCCGGTGTGTGCCCGTGTGCAGGCGGCCGAGAGTCTTGGGTGTGCGCGCACGTGTAGCTGTGTGTGCGCAGTGCATGTGGTGCACGTGCACCTATGTGTGCGCACCTGTAGACGTGTGTGCACGTGTGTGTTTGTACGCCGTGCATGATGTGAGGTGTGTGTATGTGTGTGCACGTGCAATACGTGTGTGTGCACGCGCATGTAGCTGTGTGCATGCACGTGTGGTGCATGTGTGTGCACACGCATGTAGCTGTGTGCATGCACGTTTGGTGGGTGGGTATGTGTGTGAATGCATGTGTGGTGCGTGTATGCATGCTAATGGACGGCACACGCATGCACTGCTCTCAGCAGGTGTCTTGGCGTGTGCATATGTCTGACGAAGCGGGCATTCACCCACGAAAGCTTATGCTCCAATACGTCTGTTAGTCTATAAGGTGCCACCGGACCCTGTCGCACGTCGGTTCTGTTCTCCCCCCGGTGCTGCGTGAGGGGATGGGGAAAGCACCGGCGGTGAGCACCCTGCAGCTAACCACACAGCCCGTCCCGCTCTCCTATCTGCCACAACAAGTAGACCAGCAGGACCCGACTCTTATTATCGTCCAATGTTGTGGCCTTGCCTCTCCGGCCTACTGCTGGCTGGCACTGCCGCTGCGTTCCCTCTGCCGGGCAGTGGACACGGTGCCGGGCCATTCTCACCTTCGCTTGCACTGGCCTCCCCTTCCCCAGGCTGGCCACGCTGCCTCCCCTGGGCCCCACAAACTCAACTGCAGAGGCCCCAAGTGTCTTTCCGCACCAGGAGCCGCACACATCGGAATGGCCATGGCCATAGGAGCTAATGGTTGTCTTCACTTCCTGCCCAAAGCAGAGCAGAGAAGCCCTGGCCGGAAGCTGCCCTGACGCCCTCTCTGGGGCTACGTCCGCTGCTCAGTGCGGTGTAAAGAGACATTTACGGGGTACACGTTACTGGTTCCACAACAGCCAGGAACCAGGCGCCTATTCCTGAGAGCCATGTACGGGCCCCTGTATCGATTAGCTAATTGTTACCTATGGCCAGATACAGAGCAGGCCCTAACAATGGGTGTGGCCAGGGCTGGATTAACCTTTTGTGGGCCTGGTGCGAAACATATTTGTGGGCCCCCATGGGGACAATGGAGCATGGTGGGGGGGGGGTCGGTCCCCGGAGCAAGGGGCCAGCCAGGGGCATGACATGGCAGGGGCGGCCCCGCTCCACCCAGCCCAGTGCGAGGGCACTATTTACAAACCGGCAGTTGCCAGACGCACAATGGCCCGTCCGGTCCTGGGCTGCCAGCGTGCCCCTTCCCCTCAGGGGTGGGCCCATGCCGTGCCACACAGCCCCCCTGATGGAGGGGTGAACTCCAGCTGGAGAATACACAGCCCCGCGGCTGGCACTGACCCAGCTCGGACGCTTAGCGATAGAGTGCTGCTGTGGCGGGTGAGCAGCAGGAAGGGGTAGCTACCCCAAGAATGTGCCTAGCGTCTCAGACGGGACCCTACTCAGGGCAGCTAGCCCCTCCGACCGCCCCCTCCCTGGCAGCTACGCCCATTGTCCTTAACACACTGACTGTAGCTAGCACAGGGCTGTCTCCTCGCGCTGCTCGGAGTGCAGGCATTCCACAGACAGCGAGATCTCGGCATCCAGGACGCTGCGTTGCTTAGTGCCCCAGATGCCTGACCAGGGCATTGAAACAACCAAAGAAGAGACTCTGGCTAGATCTACACTACCACTGACGTTGCTGTAACTTACATCGCTCTGGGGGGTGAATAAGCGACATAAGTTACACTGACCTATGTCCACACCACCTAGCTAGCGCTGCTGAGAGGGGGTGGATTACTTAAATCAACGGGAGAGCTCTCTCCCGTTGGCTTAGAGCGGCTACACTAGAGAACTTACAGCGATGCAGCTGCAGCACTGTAAGCTGTCTCGTCTAGCCATAGCCTATGTCAGACAATCGTGGGTTGTATTCTATACTACGTTTCTCCTGGGGACGGACCTTGCGGCGCTGAATGGGTTGCGGTGTAATCAGTGAAGCTTATAGCCACGTGTCATTCAGTGGAGTTTTAGGCCTGGTCTACACTAGACAATTAGGTCAGTTTAACATAAAAACTACCTCAGTTATTGCCTTTGGTTGGTATCAAACCAGCTAGACAGCAACGGTTTAAATCTCACCTTTGGAACATACAATCAGAAGCGAGGAGGAAGGACATCTGATAACTAAATCCCCTTGTCCAAGTGGCGGTTGCCAAAGGTACTGAGCGTACTGTACCACCGGTACCGTCCCTGTGGATTGTGTCTCTCCGGTGCATTTCATACACTGTAAGTGCAGCAATGTAACAAGTTTTCCTTTCCCCATCTGCAAGCCTGTCCCTTTTGTGTCACAGTGACAAATTCAATCTTTGCCAACTGCTTCCAAGTGTCTACCTTCTAAGTGCTCTGCTGGCAATGCCAAGAGCGGTGACAGCAGTGACCTTCCAGAAAAGCAAACTTGTGCTGCTGGCATGCAGCGTGCGTGCTGATGAGGAGGACTTGGACACAGGAGGGGAAAGCGCTGTATGGCTCAGATGAGATCAAAACCCCTTCAGAACTGAAAAAAAGCTAAAATGGTGACAGTCCCAGCGTTGCCACTGACTCACTATGTAACTGCGAGGCCTTTGTTTCAGTTGTCCTCTATACAATGGGGGTAATACTACTCACCTACCTCCTCTGGGACTAGTTAGCGAACTCCCTGTGAGGATTCAGCTGTTACCGTGTGCACAGTGCTTTGAAGTATTATAAACAGCCATGAAAAAGCTCTCCGGAGAGAAGAGGAAGATGTCACTACACAAAGCACACCAGAAGGGGAGAGGAGGCGATGCGGGGAAAGCAGACGCAGTAGCCACCAACCCATGGTGCTGTTCAGCAAGGGAGAGGAAAGGCTACATCCTGCTCCAGCAGCCTGCACAGCCACCACTGGGCGGAAGCTAGGGCAGAAATTAGCCCCAGAAATGAGAAGCAGAAACACAAGGGACGCAAGCTGGAAGAAAAGCCAAAGAAATGTAATGGGGTGGTGGGGTGGCGAGTGCAGAGAGCTTAGAATCAAAGAAACAATAGATTGGCTTAGCAGAAGAAACCCAAGTGAGAGGCACAGGCACAGGATGGGGAATGGGTAGGAGAATGGGGCCCATCTAAACGTGAGTTAAGGAGGAAGGCGAAGAAGAGAATAAACATCAGAAAAGAGGAACCGGAACTGTCTGCTGCTCCCTAGAAAAGGGGAAATGGGGCACAAGAAGGCAGGAGGGGAACATTTGGAGAAGAAATAAAAAGTACTGGGGAAGAAAACTCCTTGGAGACCAGAATGCTTTCTGAGTGATTCTAATGATTAGTGGTACAGTTCACTATTTATAGTTTCAGTCTGAATCAGCCCAGCCAGTTACTGCAGCACTGCAAATGATGGGCCAGAAGCTCAGCTGGTGTCAAGTGGCACAGCTCCACTGCGGTCACTACAGCTGTGCATTGTTAGCTGGGGATCTAGCTATGAACACCAATTGTGCTTTTGCTGCTGCAGTGGAAGGGAACAGCTATGGGTGATGCCCAGAGGGAGAAACTCACTAACGCATCAGGTTGGGGTATCCAGAAACGTTCACCCGATTGTACATTCCAGGCAGCATTTGGCCAGGACCAGATAGCTGCAGAGTGATAACAGCTTGTTGCCATCAGCAGCTAAGCACAGCACAGTGAGTTTGACATGACTTGGTGAGCATTGTCAGAGGATGCATATCACCTGCCAGCTCTCTTTAACGCTTGCCAGTCTGGGAGGAGTGTTTTGGACCAATCATTCTTTCATGTTTGTTTTAGTAAGCACAGGAAATCCTGTTGCTATTAAAAATGACAATCGCTAGAGCCCAGGCAGCACTGTCATTATCACTTATGATAACATCTACAACGCTCGGGTTTCTATGGGGGATTTTGCTCATTTCCCAGAATCATAGAATCGTAGGACTGGAAGGGACCTTGAGAGGTCATCTAGTCTAGTCCCCTGCATTCAAGGCAGGACTCAGTATTAGACCATCCCTGACACGTGTTTGTCTAACCTGCTCCTAAACATCTCCAACGATGGAGATTCCACAACCCCCCTAGTGTTTCCTAATGTCCAGCCTAAACCGCCCTGGCTGCAATTTAAACCCATTGCTTCTTGTCCTCGCCTCAGAGGTTAAGGAGAACAATTTTTCTCCCTCCTCCTTGTAACGACCTTTTATGTACTTGAAAACTGTTATCATGTCCCCACTCAGTCTTCTCTTTTCCAGACTAAACAAACCCCATTTTTTTCAATTTTCCCTCACAGCTCATGTTTTCTAGACCTTCCATAATTTTTGCTGCTTTTCTCTGGACTTTTTCCAATTTGTCCACGTCTTTCCTGAAATGTGATGCCCAGGACTGGACACAATACTCCAGCTGAGGCCTAATCAGCGCAGAGTAGAGCGGAAGAATTACTTCTCGTGTCTTGCTTACAACAGTCCTGCTAATACATCCCAGAATGAGGTTTGCTCTTTTTGCAACAGTATTACTCTGTTGACTTATATTTAGCTTGTGATCCACTATGACCCCCAGATCCCTTTCCGCAGTACTCCCTCCTAGGCAGTCATTTCCTATTTTGTATCTGTGTAACTGATTGTTCCTTCCTAGTTTACAAGCAGAGGTGGACATTTTCAAAAGCCAAGCTAGACATTAAAAGTGTTTGCAGCCCTGAGCAGTGAGCACTTCTCAAGACATCTGGAAATATGGCAGCAGAGTCTTTGCTTTCAGAAAGCTGCACCAAAGCACTCCTGCTGCCACACTCAGAGGGTTCTGTAGTGTTGTATATGGAGCACCTGAAGAAGCAGTTTGATGTTGGATCAAGAATCAAATGTTTTACTTTATTATTATTAATTATT